ATGGTTGCTATTATCTTACTCTGTTCATATCTATCTATCTATCTATCTATCTATCTATCTATCTATCTATGTGTTTACATCTATTGGTCAAGTTATGTTCACACCCACAAAGACAAACTTACATCTCTAAACCCCAACCAATAATATAGATTTATTCCCAAGCATGCATATAGGCGAATGTCTATTCCTTCCATCTTGTGAGATGAACCTTTATTGGCAGAGACATTTGTTCCTCCCCTTAATTTTACACCATTTTATTTCTTAACATACCTTTTCTCTATCTTCCTCTTCCTTTATCTCTGTTCCTCTCTAAATGTCCCTCATTCTCTCTCTTTCTCTTTCTCTCTCTCTCTCTCACACACACATACTGTTTTTCCCTATCACATTTTTTACTCTCTGATTGTTTCTCCCCATCTCTCCCTCCCACTGCTACTCTTTTTGAATCTCTCTCTGTGACTTTCTTATTCTCTCTTTTTACTCTCTCATTTTCTACTATTTTTCTATTCTCCAATTGTCTTTTCTTATCTCTCAACTTCATTTTTATTCATTTCTACTCTCTCTTTTTCTCTTTTCTACTCTCTTTGTATCTCTCACTGTCATTCTCTCCAACTGCTACATTGTGAATGCATTCGTCTGCTTTCTCTTTCTCGCTACCACTCTCTTAGAATTCCATTCTCGTGTTACTCACACTTTCACTGTCTAGCTTTTACTATTTCCTTCTCTCTGAATGTCTCTTAGACTCTCTCTTTACTACTCTCTCTCTATTTCTGATTCTGTTTTGTTTCTCTCTATTAATCTCTCATTCTTTCTCTCTGCTAATATGTTGTTTTACATGTTATACATACATACATACATACATACATACATATATATATATATATATATATATATATATATATATATATATATCTCACTCTCTGTGAAACATACTGACTCTAACTCTCTGTCTAATCTGTTATTCTCTGTCTCTCACTATTTGCTTACAGGTTTCTTTCTTTCCTTTCTTTTGTCTACTAAACTGTCTTTATCACCTACAGCCTTCACCTTTCTTTTCTCTCTCTCTGTTTGTCTCACTCCCTTTCTCACTCTCTCTCTCTCTCTCTCTCTCTCTCTCTCTCTCTCTCTCTCTCTCTCTCTCTTACAGGCACCTCTTTCTTTTACTCGCTCATTCTTTTTAGCAACACTCTCATTGTTTTTTAATCTCAGGTTCTCTGCCTCTCTCTTCTGTCACTCTTTAATTCTCTCTCTCTCACCTAGACCCTTTCTCCTTTCTTTCTTTCTTTCTTTCTTTCTTTCTGCCGACTACATCTTTGTTAACTCTCTTCCACTTTCTCTTTCTTCTCATTTGGATGTTTACATATGTTAAACCTGGGACAAGCATCAGTTATAAAGTGAAATCTGATTGGATAAATTTCTACACACACACACACACACACACACACACACACACACACACACACACACACACTTACTTTCTCTCTGTTTCTTCTCTTATTCTTTTCCCACATTTGCTCTCTTTCTACATATATATAGATCATATATATATATATATATATATAAAATATATATATATATATATATATATATATATATATATATATATATATATATATATATATATTTTTTTTTTTTTTTTCTCACTTTCTGTGAGGCATACTGATAGGCACAAATATATTCTCTGGTGTATGCAAATGCACACATAGCCACATTTAAATAAACATAAATATATATTAAATCCTCATATGCACTTTATATATAGCGAGAAAGTAAACACACACACATGTATATATGAATAAGGAATATTTTGTTTGATTAAAAGGAACTGACAAGGTCTGTCAGTTTAATTTTTTTACTATATTTTTCCAGTTTTCGTATAAGCTGTTGAGTATTGTGCTCAAAGTGGTGGATAAACTGTTCGATGTACATATTTTGTTTTTTTTGTTCAAGTACTTTCAACTATTGCAGATATTACAAGAACCGATGTGGTGTCTGTGTGTAGTTATATATATATATATATATATATATATATATAGATATATATATAAATGTATATTTGTCTGATGATCGCAAAGGCGAGAATCCCTGTGTTACAAACTCATATCCATAAAACTAAGTATATATATATATATATATATATATATATACAAATGTAAAAGAATGAAGAATAAAATTTTATAATAAATAAATAAATAAATATATATATATATATATATATATATATATATATATATATATATATATATATATATATATGTATATGTATATTTGTCTGATGATCTCAAGGGTGAGAATCCCTGTGTTACAAACTCACATCCATAAAACTAAGTATATATATACATATATATTTATATATATATGTAATAAAATCACTATTTAGGCAGTAAGATGTGATTTAAACAAGTATTCTTAAATTCAACTGTCAATTTCCATTGTTCAGATAGATGTTATGTTATGTATATATATATATATATATATATATATATATGCATATATATATTTTTTTTTGTAGTTTTATATAAAAGTAATAAAATGAGCAATATGTAGTTTTAAGTTATGCTATATTTCTAAGCAAAAGTTCTCAATATCACTAAACAGATATGAAATACAAATAAGAAAGAATCTATAAAATATTATATAAACATATATATATATATATATATATATATATATATATATATATATATATATATATATCACCCCAGGCAAAGCAGGAGTGCCAATAGCAGACAGGGCTTTTTGGAGTGTGGGAGCAAGAGTAAAGCGGTGTGATATAGGAAAGGATGAAGAGAGGGATGTGGAATAGATCATGGCATATGGAGATGTCGAATGATATTACATTTGAATAGTTGGAGATTATGGCTATCAGGGAAACAAGTAATAGGAAGAGAATTCCACAGGCGAGAAGTGCGAGACATGAAGCTATTGGAGTAGAAGAGATCGTTACATTTAACTGTTTCGACAGTGAAAGGGTGGGACTGAGATGCCAGCCTAGCAGCATGTTAAAATTCATGCAGTCTGGGAACTGTGAATGTAGCTCATTGGAGCAGTTACCGTGAAAGTATATTTAGAAAAGATGGAAGGACGTGACAGCACATCTGTGAGAGAGCGACCATAGGCAAGATGCCAGATCAGGGCCAATACCATTGCATATCCATCTCTGGATCTTTTCGAAGACCTTAAGGTGAACAGAGGAGGCATCACACTATATATGGCAGCAGTATTCCATGCAAAGGGAAAAAATTATAGTTTTGAGGTATGCTATATTTATGGGATAAAGTGCACAATATTAGAAATAGAATGTATGTATGTATGTATGTATGTATGTATCTATGTATCTATCTATCTATCTATATATATATACTGTCATCCACAGACAGACTGTTTCACTGTATCACAGCTCCTCAGTGTGGCTAGACATCCAATCGCTTCAGGACAGGATCGAAACCTGACTGATTTGGTATCAGTTGGAGATTTTAACCTGTAGGCTATTGACACTTAGCAGTGAGAAAATGCAATTTTTTGTGTATTTATTTTTTCATAAACACACTAGACACTCAGAGAACTCAATTGCTTGGAGAATCTTGCATTATCAGCAGTAATAGTAACTGCTTATAAATTTGTTACTCCCCACAGTGCTCAACTGATTAAATTATTTTATTATATATATATATATATATATATAAATATATATTTCATTGTATAATAAAGTTATATTGTATCTATTTATTTTTACACTGATCCTTTCCAGTTGATGAATCAGTTTTTTGATGTGAACATGAAAATTATCAAGTAAGGCGTAATAGTTTTTTAACCCAAGTACTTTTGATCTTCAGGATTAAATTACAAAGACAAACTTATTGTAAATGCAATAAAATCTACAAGCTTTTGTGATGGTGATTTTTAGAAACACATGCGAACACACCTTGTTATAGTTATTTTAAAATTTTAAATTTATCTGTTGTAGTTATGGAATATTTTTGCAAAGCAAGCATCCCAATATAAGGCAACTGCCTGGAAATTTGGTGGAAATGTAAAATGGTATTAAATAAGAAGACACAATATGTCTATATTATTCAAGGAAACATTTTTGAATGAAGATATGCATCTCAAATAGACATAGATGATGCGATGGATAAATTATCATCTAAATTCATGCAAATATATATATATATATATATATATATATATATATATATATATATATATACACACACACACACACACATATTGTGCGATGGATAAATTGTCATCTAAATTCATAGCAAATATATATATACACACACACACACACAACACACACATTGTGCGATGGATAAATTGTCATCTAAATTCATGCAAATATATATATACACACACACACAACACACACATTGTGCGATGGATAAATTGTCATCTAAATTTATGCAAATATATATATACACACACACACAACACACACAGGGTGCGATGGATAAATTGTCATCTAAATTCATGCAAATATATATATATATATATATATATATATATATACACACACACACAACCACACTGGGTGCGATGGATAAATTGTCATCTAAATTATGCAAAAATGAAAATAATACTGGCATCTCATTTTAACAGATATATTTACCAAAGTTACACAAAAATATTTTGAAATACTAAAGAATAAATTCATTCAATAAAATCACCATTGGCTTTAACGGTAACCTCCAGATGACTTCAGAATCTGTTTTATCTCTTTTGGATGGTCTTTTTGTTTAAGTTGGTGAATGCTGCCATAATCCTTGCCTTCAGTTCATCTTCGGTGTTACAAGGGGTTTTGTTAGTCTCTTGCTCAACTGCGCCCCAAACATAATAATCAAAGAGGTTGCAGTCTGGGGAGTTAGGTGGTGAGATGTAAGGGGTGCTGTGGAGACAGCAGTTGTCATGACTGGGTTCTCCTATTTCTGTGGTATGGTGCAGAGTCTTGCTACCAGAAATATGGTCTCCCAGCAGTCACCCTCTTGACCTAGGCACTTTATGCAGGTCAACGTTTTGAGTCTCCACCCACGTGGCAAGAAGAATGGAGGCATAATATCACCATCACTAGTGATCATTCCAAAATTAGAAAATGGTGACAATTTACCCATCGCACCGGTATGTTGGAAAAGGAAAGAAGTAATTCTTTCAGGTATGAAGATTTTTGAAAAAAGTCAAGCTGCAGATTTATATTTCAATAAGATTCTGTTGCAGCACTCTCAGAAATTCAACATCATCTTTTACTCATTTTCATTTATTAGATTTCGACACATAGCATCCACCAAAATTTACCTGGAGTTTTCAGTTAACCTGATGAATATTTATGAGCATCTCTTAAAAGTGAAAAACTAATAACATTTTTACTTTTATTATAAATACTTGTTGCAAAATAAAATCATTACATTTGCCTTAAAAAAAGTCCATCAGAGACACTTCAGTTAAGTTTTCTTTCTGTTTTTATTCAAATTGTCCTTTTACAGATATATTTCAGTTATATCTGAAATTCTACATATATATATACATATATATATATATATATTGTCATTCACAGACAGACTGTTTTGCTGTATCACATCTCATCAGTGTGGCTAGACATCCGGTTGCCTCTAGCTAGGATCGAAACCTGACTGAATTGGCGTCAGTTAGAGATTTTACCCCTAAACCGTTGTCGCACGACAGGGAAGAAGGTGAATTTAAGCGTATTTATTTTTTAGATAAACACACAGTGACTGAGAGAACTCAATTCAATTTACCGAAGAGTCATGCATTATATATATATATATATATATATATATATATATATATATATATATATATATTTATTTAAAAATTATAACATAAATATGTTATAAAATCACTACAAAAATAGCCATTTCGTTTCAGCACAAAATGGATATTTTTAGTGATTTTATAACATATTTATATTTGCTCTATTCTGTATTGAGCACTCTTTTAAGAATAGTAATTGTTGGTGATTGAATTTATTCCGTATACCAACCAATCATACTATATATATATATATATATATATATATATATATATATATATATATATATATATATATATATATATATATATATATATATGTGTGTGTGTGTGTGTGTGTGTGTGTGTGTGTGTGTGTTTTCTTAGCACACTAAATATATATGCCTGTGTCTGTGTGTATGTGCTGGTAGTTACTTTTACAGAGCAAACTGCCTCTTTTTTTAAATATTTATATAGTCTCTTTAAATACTTATATAGTCTCTTTAAATACTTATATAGTCTCTTTAAATACTTATATAGTCTCTTTAAATACTTATATAGTCTCTTTTTTAATAGTCATATAGTTTGTTTCTTTAAATAGTTATATAATCCCTTTTTTAAATA